ATTCAGGATCCAACAATTTTAAACATTTCAAAAGTCCAGTCTAAATCAATGAAACAATCATCCAGAATTTAATACCTTATTCTTCTAAGTGGAGATATTTCATATAATATTGTCTGGAACACGTTACGATCTCCATCGAGATCGAGAAAGTTAAATCACGAAATATCTACGAAGGTAAGAGAGAGAGAGAGAGAGAAGTTCGCGTAAAATCTTATTTGCAAACGAGATTCCGAGTGTCCCACGGGGTCACACAAGGGTGGAGGGGAGGAAAAACGAACAATGAAACCGCTCTCGGACCGGGAAGAAAGACCGGGCAAACCGATTTCCCGCATGAGCTCTCCTGTTTGCTCTACGGATCACCGCCACCTATAATTTCACCCCTCTACTCCGTCTTCGGTTTGATCCTGTTACGTGAATACCGCCCAGACCAGGAATCCATTCGAGCCACTAATCTACCTATTGTCGCGTCTCCTCGGTCAGAAGACGGTCCTCGATCGATCGATAGATCGTACTCTTGGATTCTCCGCGTCGCGCTGGTTAACTAACCAATGCTGTTGAATGATCGATTTTGATACATTATTGCCAGTTGATACATCAAGGGTGCACAGTGGGGTGAACTTCCTTCATTCCGTTCGATGGTTTCCAAAAATGTATTACGTATCATAATTTGCAAGCATGATTTCTCATTAAAAAAGGTATATACATTTTGTCGTAGAAGAAATTTCAGGGGACAAAAAATTAAACACAGTTGTCAGAATTGTTTGTTGAGATTTTTAGAATGTCTAAGTTTACTGCGTCTGTTTCAACTAAAATTATTATTATTTTTTTATCAATTTTTTTCATTTTTCAAGGTGAACATATTTTTTTGTCAAATATTTTTGCCGCAACATTTCATATACAATTCTTTTCAAACAATTCAAAGGGATTCCATTATTTTTTCATATTGGTTGCGGGAGGAAATTTCAAGGATTTTTTTCAAATATTTTTTCATCCTTATTTCCTCGACGTAAAGTTTAGTTTTGTGGAGCGTAAAGAATTGAAGATTTTAGTTGTAATAAATAATGAATAACATAAATACAATAATACAATAATGTAATAAATTATGTATATGTAGGTATATTATAATATAATGTAATAATAAATGTTATAACTAAACTGCAAGGATTTTTATGCAAATACACATTTTTAAGAAAAATATAGACTTTCGATAGGAAATTGTTTTACATATTATAGTATAAAAAGCATTTGTATACTTTACATACTTGTATATTATTCATATTATGCGCATCATGTGCAACTTCATACTTTTAATATTTAAATTATACGTTATATCATATTACTGCATTATAATATGTGTATATTCTTCTTAAATTGTACAATTTATTGAAATTATTCCTACAATTTATCGAATTTATTTCTATAACATGGAATTTATATAGAATTTACAATTGCAATTAAAACAACTAAAATTAAAACTGGATCAAAAGGATTGCATTGAAACTGTACGTTGAATTAAAATTACAACTAAAATTGAATAAGAAATATTATATTAAAACCAAAAGATGAAGAATAAAAATAACCAAATAATAATAATAATAATTAATTACAAAAAATGAAGAATACTTCACACACACACACAAAAAAAA